GAGGGCTTCTACTTCGCCTTCATTACCCTCAGCACCATTGGCTTTGGAGATTATGTGGTGGGTGAGTAGAGAGAGCAAACAAACACCACAGAAGTCAACCTAACCTTTGTGATTCTATCCAGTGGACTGTAAAAGGCATTTGGACGTAATCTGCAATACGATTTAATGTATGTGCAGAGGCTGAACATGGATGTAATCTAAAACATGGGCACAGCTTTCGGATGTGAAAAGTGAAGCCATTGTGAATGTGCCTTAAACCTAAATGCTTCCTGACAGCCTCAGTTTTGTCTGAGCTAAGATGGCAACGTCCCAAAATGCTCAGCTCAACGTTCATAACAGTATTTTTGATTTTGTTTTCGGGTTTGTCTTTGCAGGTACCAACCCTGGAAAGACCTACATCTATCTGTACCGCAGTGTTGCAGGCATTTGGGTCATCTTTGGCCTCGCTTGGCTCGCTCTCATCTTCAACATGGCAGCTAGTATAATGGAGCATGTGCTGGACCAGACTTACCCGAGCCTCAGGAAACAAAGGGAGGCAGAGAACATGCCATCCAGTGAAATAGAAGCCACATCAAAGATCTGAAAATGGACTGCAGATAGCACCATATACAGTGCGTAAAATATATTTAGCGAGACTGTGCTAAAATAGACGAAGCAGGATGACTTCTACCTCATTCAGGCCGCACGATTGGTGCTTTAAATATTTGCGTTGAACTGTCATAAAATGCAAACAGTTCACACAAATAACACTGTTCTAATTAACTCTAATTATTCTCACTGAGAGCAAAATGTTTTACATATTATATACAAAGTGTGCTCAGAAAGTTATGAGAACAGGTTGACAGAAGTGGGGAAAAAATCAAAAGCCTGACTTCATTTAAATGTGGCCAATCTCCCATTCAGCACTATTTTCTCATGCACCTCTGGACAGATTTTAGATCTCATTGCAGAAGTCTTCTCATTTCCCTTTTCCCCTTTATTTCGTGATCTCCTCCAGTTTGTCAAAATCATTTAACTTAATGGAAAATCTGGCAAGTGAGTCAGTTGGCATCTTAAGATTGTGCAGGTGTTCTTGCACACAGTTCAGGTTGTTTTTGTCACATTTCCTCCCTCACAATACTTGGGATGTTCTTCCAGAACTCTGCACTGATGGGTCCAACCTGAGGGGAACATTCATGCTGTAAAACACTAGAGGCAGTGTGAATGTGGTAACAATGCCATGATATTTCATACTGCACTCATGGTAGCTCCCAAGTCCCTACTGGTTCAGCTCACATTTTTGCCCATGTTATTCCCCGTGTTGGTATCAGTATAGGTTAACATCCCTCCTATTAGCTTCAGCTCTGAAATCTCCAGGAGTACCACCAGTGTGATTGGTTGGTAATGGTTCTCCAAGAACTGACTGCCATTAAAAAAATAAAACAAATGTAAGTATGTGACTTGCAAAATAAAAAGTAGCCATTCTTCAGAAACACAAGTTAAGAAGATCAACTTTTTTAGTGTTAGTCATAAAACAATTAAAGGCGCTGCCATAATGAGCTGCCTCTCAGCATTAGAGCCTTTCTTGTTTTGTAAACATTATTTCAACATTTTCTTAGATGATCTAGTAGAGAATGTGTTTACTCAGGTGGAAATCATGTTTTCTGCTATACGTTTGTGTATTTTATTAACTCGTGTGTGTGTGTGTTTCTCTAAGAGCACGTCTGCATTTGTGTAGTGATGGAAAATTCAGGTGAATTGAATGCAGAGGGCTATCTTAGACAAACACATTAATCAAAATGGTGAAGTGAGCTGTAAAAAAAGGAGGATGGCTTTTACCAGTCTCACTTTTTAGTTTGTTTTAAATCCATTCAACACTGAATATATATATATAGCTGAGTATGTGAAGCGTATGACTACACTACCTGTGTTTTATTTAACAGTTTTTCAGT